TTAATGAATAATTGTTTAAATGAATCAAAATCAAAAATATTATTTGATATAATGCCAGTTGTAAGTAAAATAATTAATTTTATCAGTAAAAAGGTTATGGAGATTATTAAGTTTTTTTATTGTTTTTTTTATTGAGATCAAGAACCAAAAGTGATCTAACATCAATCGGTTCATGATCTCAATCAATTAATTTTTGTTTATAATAAGTGTTAGATCTATCGAAGCGTCTAGGTCATCCGATCGAGATACGCGCGAAACCGAAGTCTACAATAGCGGTTCTTTATTGAATAATACACAAAATTTAGTTACAAACCTCAACCTGTGAGGTGTCTAAGGCGTTTAAACGCGTCTTTCAAGGATGAAATAAAAAGCTTCCTGTTACAGTAACACAAAGAATGATTACGAAATACGATAGTACAAAGGACAGCTGATAGCTGTGTCTACATTTGATAACAGTTTATGAACAACGGAAACCCGAACCAAAAGTAAAACAATATGGAAACTGTTGCGTTTAAACAAATGCACAAAACTGTGGATAACCGCTACAGTAATTAAAATGATGAATACAATGATAAGTACAATAAACGTTATGAGTATATGTGAACATTTCAGAATATCACAGTACAACTTGCGTTACAACATGAGTTTGAAAATTGTTGGGAATACAACTGCTTACTGAATGTAAATAAGTAGTATAAAACAATATACAAAGGAGTGGAATGGGAGCGATTAGGAACAATGTAAGACAAACTTAACAATAAGTGAATAGAATTTTTTTTTAAAAACTAGCTTTAATTGACTCATGACTCCATCTATTAAAATACTACAAGCTCCATAAACCCTCATTCTGATAATAATCATCATGTGCTCACTAGTAACTGGCTTCAAGGTGGATTTCCCGGAACTCTAATGAGAAGCCGTGACCAATGGAGTCCAATCCATGTTGGATAGAGACAGGTATCTACCTCAGACAATTGGATAAATATTTGCGCAAGATTATCGATCGATTGAAGTTAAACATTAACACTGTTGGATATCGGCTCAGTGGTCTTGAGATTAGGCATTCACGTGCGAGACCGAAAGTCCTGGGTTCAAGTGTTGTATGTAGGGTCATGGATGGGCACTGTTGATGAGTCCCATACTAGGTAGGAACGACTGTCCGATGCTTCCAGGTTTTCAGTGATGGTTTAGCTTAAATCGACCCATGAATTCAACTATTAAAATTGCTACAATCTCCACAAACCCCATTCTGATAATATTTTCAGTTAAACGACATTTCCTTTCCGATGTTATCATATAAATAAAATAATTACAGTGTTTAAGGTTATACTTTTCGTACAGCGGTAAAAATGTGAAAGCAAATATTCAATAGTGTATAAAAGAAAAAGGTACGTTTCATGATAGTCTAAAAGCTAGAAAAGGTAAGAAATTAAGAAGGAAATTCGTATTCAATGTTGTATATGACCTTTTCAATCACTTATTGAAATGTGAAATTGGTTAAAACTAAGGAGTAAAACAATATGATATTAATTACTTCTCGACGACCGATTAATGTTAACATCTCATCACAACAAATTATTGGTAACTTTACTGGATGTTACATGGGTACGAACCCTATAAAGAATATCAATTCACTTCAAAATAGTAGATACATTGTATTGATAAGCAGCATCTAATAAGTAACGTACAACTGTGGCTTAGTTTCAATAGCTTGAAATCACCTAACGTCAAATAATTTGATTGATCCGTATGGTTTAGAAGTGAAAGAGAAATTGTATTACTTATACAGTTGCTTTGAAGTAGACGTAAGTCCTGAAGATGATATCAGAAAAAGATTTCAAAATGAATCGGCCAGCCTCTAAGTAAAGTAGTCATCAATAGGACTAATAAATGTCAATTCGCCTCATTACTTAATTCACTTATTATTAACTGACTGGTTTATAAATAACAAAATAAATGATATTTTAAAAAGAATTGTCTAATCTCTTCAAGTAAATATTAATTTCACTGATGCGTTAAATATATAAGTACCAAAAAGTACACAACTTGTGTCCGAAACCTCGTGTTGATTGAGTTTAATATTTGAATGACAATCAAAGTATACTGTGATATCAAATCTGTTAGTATGTCTATTATATCACAAACTTTAATAATCAAATTCAGTCTATAATAAAGGCTATCATTCTAAATAAATGAACAAGTTCTAATAATCTACTTTTGAAATTAAACATTATAACATATCACTTTTTTTCACTTTTTTCTGTACACATTAGATCTGGCTTATTCCAAAAAAGTTAAGTGAAATCAATCGTGAATCAACTTATACTTGCCCAGTCTACAAAACATCTGCTCGACGTGGTGTTCTATCAACTACAGGACATTCAACAAATTTTGTATTATATATTGATTTGAAAACAAATCAACCACAAGAGCATTGGATTAATCGTGGTGTAGCTGCTTTATGTCAATTAGATGATTAGAAAGTGACATCAAAGATAATATATGTTTAAATGAATAACAAATAGTGATATGCTGAATGTATGAGAACGTAGACAGTGATATCTATAAATATTAGAAGTAATAGGAAGAAATTCATTTCATACAGTATTTTTTACATTAAAGTTGAAGGAAGAATTCAGTAATGTAAAATGACCTGAAATATAATTTAGATAAATTTCTTTTATGATTACTGTTCCCAAGATTGAGTGCTTTCCAAGAAATAGTAGTTTTTAAACGACACTACTTATTATTAGTTAGTAGTGTATTATCATTCAATAAAGATAAGCATGTGTTACATGAATATTTGAAATGTAACCAATCGATTTAAATAAATATTATCGAACACTTGTTGGACGTAGATTTTCAAGAGTTGCTATTTAGGGTTAGGGGTTCTTATCACAAGTTGATGTTACCTATAATATCGAATTGCTCTGTAGCCAAAAGAATGAATGAACACTCAAAAATACAAGTGCTATCCGGTTAGTCCATATACAAAATGTAGTGCCATCAGGTCAATGTTTGTCTCAGAATTAAGATCTAGCTGTTATAGATAATCTGAAAAGACGGAATTAAACATTTCATACATTTGACACTTTTACTGTGGTAATAGAAATAGGAATTAATATGGTATCATTCGAAGCGTCTTCAGCAGCATACAAAGGCAATTTTTCTGCATACCATGCACATTTGAATTTCACACAAAAAAATAAATATCGCGTCCTCGTTTATGATTGGCTCGTCCCTAAGTTACCTTTACACAGGATAACCTCGATGACATTTCCCTAGTCCCTATTACCGCAATAACATAGGCTTTGATATGATTGGTTGTATGACAAACGTTCGTTCTATTCGAGTTCCCATTGATTGAGTCGTTTTAGAAGAATCATTAATTGTTCGTAAGTAAAATTTGCCGTAAACGAACCGAAAACCCAGTAATTCAATCTTTCTTGCTACTAGATCAACGAGAAAGCGCCCACTTTCATACACTAATCGAAACGGATATTCCATCCAACATAGATTGGTTTCTTGATTTCTTTCCCAGCAGTGGTCGCTTTTCAAATTTAAACCGGTGAAACAATGCTATATTGACAACCTTTAGAGACCCCAAAAGTGATCCTTCCAAATTTCATCCAGCTAATAGTCAGTCTGAATGCAAGTGTTACAAATCAATAACTTGTCACAAAATAAAAAACACTAAAGGTATACACTAGTTTTACATTATTAATAAAGTTATTAAGGCCTAGTATTAAAATCAAAGCAAGTTCAACACAAATAGTTGTCCATATAACTCGAAATTATTTTAACTGTAGAGGCTCGATATAAAAATGAAGATAGTACCCTAATCTTTGCCAAAGTACTTCGATACTATTAGAGCGAACACTACCTATAGGATCGATAAATTGGGGTGTATGAATGACAGTCTGATAATTATAAATGTACCTTAGTAAACAAATAAACGCTCTTTAGTCGTCCATCTACGTGTTAGTCCCCGATTGCATAAACCATACACAAATGAATGATTTATCTGTTTTAGTTGAGTCATAATAGGTGTGGTGGCCTAAAAGACCCCATAAACACCCTTGACTATGTTCGGAATCTTCTTTAAAGTAAGGTGCTTCTTGTATATTACCTATCACATTACATTTGCTATGTCATTGCATAATTGATATACTTGACAATTTTCAACTTTTTAATAAAGTACAAGCTATCAGTCACTAGCTCTCAAATGTCCTGGTACGGCCGAGAGTGGGGAGAATCAGCTCCCCTCTCGAAGTGCTCTCACATGGCCACGTGCATACAACCACTGCCACATAAGTCCCATTCACTGCCTTCTCGCATTGTTGTTGTTCACGAAATTGAAAGGACAAAAAGCGAATGTCCGGCGCTCTAACTAGGTTGATGGACACGGAGAGTCCACCCAGAGCAGTTGGAAAACCCTGATTACAACTCAATCATGCACATGGAACAAATGGCGTATAAACCAATTATTGGGCACCGACTACCATGGGACTGCATCTCCTTACGTTGCTGCACTGCCTTGTGTGTCAGACCTTTAATTCAAATGCTAGGGGTGTGGCCGCCTAAGTAAACCACCTGCTTTGGTTTGGGTACCCGGGCAGTATCCTAGTCCTCACACAAATCGAATGCTTTATGTGGCGTATATCTATTTGGTGCCTCCTTGTACCAATGTTTAAGTATTTAAATAAAATAAATAAATATCAGTCACTAAATATTTGATTTCTCGCAAGAATCCAACAGCTACCATTTCAAAATCTGATTAATTTGTCAGTTTAGTAAAGTTTCACCACTAAACCTAAACTAGCAAGCTAATTCACTTCATCAAAAATTTAATGATTAAATATACGTAGTAGTATAGTAGGTTTTATCCATTTCAGTCACTTAAAATTCACATGTTTATTTCACTAACCTATAATTATTATTCTAGGGGGGGGGAATTCTCTATCTAGTCTGAACATCTAGGTGAAAACAATGATTCCATACTGTTAGAACATTACCATTTAATTTTCATCGGTAAATGAAAGAAATAAAAAATAAAAATGCTGAAGGAGTCAGTGAGTATACACTATATAAATGTTTAGAAAAACCATGTCAAACAGTTAAGATTTGGTTATTCTTTTTAACAAGATATTCAAATTGAATACTATTTCTTTTTGTTTCGAAAAACAAAAAAAGAAACTAGATAATAATAAAATGATTAAAAGTTCTATTCTCTCTCACTTGGTCGACACAGGTCAAGTCGAATTGAATAAAGCTTTTAAGGTTATCTACAATATACCATCTAATTTGCCACATGGTTTACGAGTGCGCCTCTTGCATATTGCGGAGGCTATCGCAATCCATGTTCACAAACCTGACCTTTGCATTCAAAAGAGATTCGTACAACCACTTTCTCTGCCCTGGCCATCAGTTTAAGATTTCCTTCAAAAGAACTATTTTTCATACTTCTTCCACTTGTTTTTTTTTAACTTTTGTAATTTTGTTTCTGTTGCTTTTGAACTTAATAACTTCTCAACATTCATCTCTTGATTCTTACGTAACTACTATCCTATTGACCATCCGGTAAAATTCTATTCCTTCTTTGTTTCTTACATTACGCAACGTAGCAACTTCTTGATCACTTTGAATATTAATAATCCTCTTTCTTCCAATTCATCAATGTTAATTTAATTGTCATTATGTAATTATTACGTAACGTATCTACTCGATGAGTATTATATTATTATTGTAAACCGTATATATATTAGTGTAGAGCCATGATGAAAAACTAATTGAAAAGAAATTTCTTCGCTCAATTCGTTCCTTCTTTATTTACCAAATGGCAAGATGGGAATTTTAACTAAAATGAAACTGTTCAAAGTTTATAAATACATGTCATAAGTTGTTTTTATTCCCAATTAACAGTAGTTGATTGGTGAGTTAATAAGTCAGATAAGATTACAAAAACTTTACACACACATACGAAATACAGTAGGAGGAGAAAAATTATTCATATAATATATTACGAAGGTGGTGGTGAAGGAGATCTAGGAATAGCAATATTACTATTATCATGAGAGGCATCTGGTCGATGTACAGCCGGAGATGGGCATGAAGCATACAATGTATCAGTGGCAAACTTATTTCTTTGCTGATGAATAGGATTAGGCGAAAGAGGAGTACGGAATTCCCTTGAAGAAGATGATGATAACGATGATAATAGATCGGGTGAGGGAGTAAGCTTTGGTAGTTTACGTAGACTTGGCATTTGACCTTGTCCAATATGTAGATTACTTAGGTGAGGTGTAGCTCCCATTAGACCTGGATTAGTAAGGGGTGTTCCAATAGGCAAATGTAAACCATAAGATGATGTTGATGATGATGAGTAACACGATGATAAGCTGGTACCAGTTAATGATGTACTGCTATTATTCGATGACTGTAGTGAGTCTGCACCAAAACGTGAATATTTATTAGTCGATAAAGGACTACGAGGCGATGGAGCAATCCATGCATCTGGCATTTGGAAACCAGTAAAGTTTGTTAAGAGATTTGCTGATGCATTTAATGATGACGCTGATGAACTATAACCACCAGGTCCAGTCTTAATTCCAACTAAATTTGTCGGTGTTAACGGTGATGCAAGCGAATTCTAGGAACAGAAGAGAGAGAATGAACAATTTTGGGAAAGAATGACTATTTCCATCACAGATAAATATATACATGATGTTAGGATAAGAACATGAGATCACGGGATCATTCAATTTTTGTCAATAATGCTAAAGACTTACTAGTAACGGGGTTTTGTATGAACTTTGCCCTTTTCTAATTGGTTGTCATTAATCTTAATTCCCCAATATTCAGTGTGTCTCAAGGTCATCCTTTCGTTACTTTATACACTGAGGTGTGTTGTTCCGAGCTACTTTACTTGGATATCAAGCATTTCCCATACTTCCAATTTTTTTGTTAGTGGTCAATTAAAAGTGTTGTGTTCCAACTTTTATAATTGAGTCTACAATATGAGCCATTCATACTAGCACAGCTCAATCACTCTTTAATAAATAATCATAGGCTCATAGTAAAACCTCAAATGACGAGATACAACACTAACTCGGTGTGACTCCCATTCAGTATCATTTCTATTTTCTGACTGTGATGATTGTTTGTGGTTAAGGTTATCAGTTACACTTTCAGTGTTCAAGTAATGTGTTGTACCTAACATTTTCAGTCACCTTTCGGTTCATTTAGTAAGTCATGAACAATAAGGTGTAATTTCCATTAGAGACTTAATTTCAAGCACTAACTTTCAATATGTTTGTGAATTTTATCCTGTATCTTTGGCTGCGATATGCTGATATATTCATAGCACATAGTTGCGGATAATACCAGACTTGTGTGATGAAATTTTTGGTGAGAATTACGCTTCAACGTGCAACACTCGCCCAAGAGTGAAGAGAAAAAGGGTTGAAGGTGCCAGGTATAATATGACTTGAACATTAAAAACGTGACGGATAACCTCAGCTTTGTTCGCTATAACATTAGTTTTAATTTAGTGTCATTTTTAAAGACTTCAAGTATCAGTCCACCCAAATATGAGGAAAAATTATTTTTCAGTTAATAAACCCATGTGTAAAGTATTTCACAGTTTCGATACGCCTTAATTAGCACTTAAGACTAAACAAAATGGCATTGGTTAGTATAGTCTTACAAATTAACCTTAGTTCTAGTTGAATGGGTTTTGTGGAGATGAGTTTGATTTGTAAATCATATGCCCTACACATTGATCTCGTATAGAGTAGCACTGAGAACCGGGGAGCACCGGAAAGCTTCTTTGTCCTATTATGAGACTCCACAACAGTCCTTGCTGTCGACCACACCAGAGATCAAAATGAGGATAGTTTTAAAAAACCACGATATAGAAGTAGACAAAGGATAAATGCGTCTGCGCCACTGAGAGTCACATCCCCCATAGCCTAAAACTATTTGTCATAGTAATCGTGCGTACTACGACCACGTAGCTTGGACGTAAAAATATGGCCAAGATCATCAGTTAAAGATTTTATAACCGAATATAACAATTTGGTTTGACCTTAACTTCCTCCCAACCTACTTTACTGCAGACAATATCTAGGATCGAGATAATCAGTTGTTGACCATACCTAATGCACATCTTAGCCACCTTAGTCAATAAACATTAATAGTTTTATCAACTGACTCCTTACATTTTTCTAATGCTCAACGTCTAACCTTAAAATTATTTACTCGGTTCTTATATCAAACGCGAGTAATCCTTTGAAAATACCTATGGTTAAACACTAGTGAACTGTAGATTTCAAATACTTCTAATGATCACTTTCGCACCTATACGGTAAAACAAGGTGGACTGATATGCAGTATCCTCACTACTCTACTTGGTTGGCAGATGAAAAATTCCGTCTACTATACACGTGACGCATATTGGTAAGAAGCTGAGTACGTATTTTGAATCTATAACGAGATCTTACCAAGTATCGATCAGTTATAAGTAATGTAGGACAGATAATAAGTATGCAACGCTCCAGGTTGTCATATTTTATACGCACACAAAATAACAGGAAACTTACAAGATAAATAACAATGAAGTTGAAATAATCACTATTATTTGGAGTAGTGAATAAAGCTGTGGAAGTGTAGTTCGAAAGAAATGAAGAATATAGAATAAAAATAAAATTTAGATTCAAATTTAAGGATGAATGCATTCAAATGATTAAGAGAGACATAAAGAAAATGTCACTAAAGGTATTCAATTGCAAAATACAGTTATCTTTCAGTTTAGTCCAACAGTCAATAACTTCATGGACGGATACCATTTTAATCTCATCACCTTTAGACAATTTTAAACCTACCCTTCTATATTATCTAGTATAGTATGTCAGAGTAAGTGATGTTTAGACAAGATTACCATGTCTTAGCTCAATCATAAAAGTGGACAGTATCACTAATTAAGCTATCATCTTTATTAATTACCTGAATAAAAACACAAAATATTCATGATTGTACGTATGTATAACAAATAGTAAACAAAATGACAGAACTCACATGGGATTTTTCAATATCTTTACGCAGAACATCCAAAGCAGCTAAAACGCGTGGATTTGATGATTTATAGCTTCCAGTTGTACCTGCTGCTGTACCAGATTGTTGTGTACCGGATTCAAATAATAAATTCGAATCAGTAGTTGACAATGTACCAGTACTACCAACAGATGTAATGTTACAATGTCTTGCTAATGTATTGACAAGTCTTTCACGTTCACTTAAACTAGGTGCAGTTGAGACAGATTCATTGATACTACTAACATCCGTAGTAGTTGTAGTGACAGTAGTAGTAGTAGTTCCAGAAGATAAAGGATGAATGGAAGATACATTGGTACCACTACTACTAGACATACCACCAGTTCCTAAATTAGTACTCGTTGGTCCAGGTACAAGTAAGGCAACTTGAGCAAGAGCTAATAATTGTACATCATTAATTAATGGTAAACTAGATCTGAGTAGACCAGCTAAATTCGCACGTGTAACAATTGATCCTGTTATGGTAGAGTAAGATTCTGGATTAGTATTTTGACAAGTAGAATTTAGGACATTAGTAAAACCAATAACACTATTTCCTAATTCATTGTTAGAAATTATATTTGACATCATTGAATTTGTACGAACTAGAGATGATATATTAGATGAATTATTATCAGAATCTGATTGACCAGTATTATCATTTAAAGAAGATTCAACAGAACCTTCAGTAATGTGTGTATTCCGATCAATATCCACAAAAGCAGGCGCAGATTGAGGTAAACGTGAAATCCCTAAAACTAAAGCCTAGAAAGAAAATAAAACACAATTCACACTAGCTCATGATTACAATTAAAATAAATAACATTTAACGGTAAGACTATAAATTTATGGACGACCTTCGAGCAACGCCGAAATGACTTTGGAATGTCCACCCATTTACTACGGTTAAATGAGGGCTATACATGAGTGTGAGGAATTACAATTAAAATTTATAATGAATTGTTAGGATTAGGAATTAAATTTAATGTTTATATCACAAACTGACATCAGTTATAATGCCAAAATGGTATTTAGCCAAATGGGTGGATGAATTTCGCACCAAAATCCAAGATCTGTTATCCTAAACCTTATTGGTTCATCCATAAATTATAGTCTCACCCATTTAACATTCCTAGACAATAATAGTAATAATAATTATTATTATTAGTGGCTTTATTCAATATTATATTTTTGATACAATGTAAAGTTCTCAAAGTATTTCAATAAGTTTCTTTTAAAAAAAGGAAAAAAGAGAACGAAAATGATAACTGCATACATATATACTAAAGTTAAATGGATAAACTTGCCTGCAATCAAATGAAATGTTTGTTTTTAAAAAGATTTGAATCTGTACAACTTTTATAATTACAAACATGTTTAGGAATACAAGTTATGGACCAAGTCAGCTCTAACAAACCGTTCGCTAGAGTTATACCAGTTATGAATGAATTGGATGGTTAGTATCTGATAAAATAACACCTTCCAGGAGTTAACAAGACTTAGATGTCTATCCACAACCATATTAATGATGACCCAAAAAAATTAACTAAGCATTCAGACTCTCTATGTGATAAGTCAAACAGAAGACTTTCTTCGATAACAATAAAACATGAGATATTCAAGAGAGAATAGAGGAAAAACTTACAACAAGATAAATGAAACAGTGTTAACCATAAATCTCCAATGATACAAGCTTCATGGGATTCCAACATGGTGGTTAGGTGCTATTTATGTCTCAGGCTAAAGTTATAAAGACTCTAAGACTCACATTTTAAAGGAAGACAGAGTGAACGAACCTGCGCTATTGCGGATGATTTTGAGTCATATAATTCAAAGCTTCTAATCATTGATTACGATAATCACATATGGGCTATATTCATTTCTCCGGTTGCCCAAACTGAAATAGGCGAAATTCAAACCTTCACATTAAAAACCTATAATACTACAATCATTCAACCATTCTTTATTAGTGTCTATTTCATGTATAAATTCATTAGATTCTAAGAAGATAAGAAAAATAGGAAATACTCATTTATACAAAATTATGTACAAAAAAACCCATTATAAATCTAACTTTCTACAGTAAAACATGTATTATGATAAGAAAATAGCTTAAACAAAATAAAATGCGTTATCTTTACGATACAGACATTGATTTTATTCACTATAAATATACAAATAGAAAGAATTTATAGTTTAATGATTTCAATACATAATCGTTATCTAATACATCGTTGATCTGAATTGACCTGTTATACATTTATTCTAATTTGAATAGCCGAATAGAATTACTACCCCTGTAGTGAACTAAAACACGAGTGGGGACAATCGAATGTATTTGACACAAAATTACAGAGGATTTCAATAAAATCTGAGAATCATATAGTAAATAATTAATTTGCAAAATATCAATCCATCATCTCAAACTTCGCTGTTCCTTTTGCAAATATCAGTCAATCGTCTCAGATTTCATTGTTTATGCATTTCCATACCAATTGCGTTCCGTTCCGATTATTTCCTTATCGATCTTCTGCTGAAATACACTCTATGCCTGACCACCGTTATATACTACTTGTGTGGATATAAGTGATCTACACCACACCCCCATTAAAACAAAACTGTCTCAAATTCAAACTATATGAATTGACAAATGGTTACAGTTACACATTACATTGTTTCCCAAGCTAAGATTTTATACATACATGTAGGCATTATATATATATATATATTAGCAAACAAACTGTAATGTAGTTAAGTAATACAAATTTTATGAGTCTTTATGATTATTCTAAAACTTACTTGTAAAACTTCTGGGCGCCAACGAAAAATAACAGATAGGCCAAATTTATTATTATAACTTAATGAATCAGAACATAACACTTTTGTTGGTGTAATAGGTTGAGATTGTGTTGTAGATTTATTATGGTTGGAACGATTTACACGTGATTGTGCAAGTGTTACAGCTAATTTTAATAAAGCACGTAATGTAGCTAATTCATTACGTTCTAAACAAAATAAACAATGATATTGTAAAATTAAATAACCAATTGGATGTGCTAAATAACCTGATGGTACAGTTATATTGACACATTGAGTAGCATCTATGAAAAAAATCGAAAGCAATAATAATAATAATTATTAACGATTCATTAAATAGTAAATTATAAAAATATTTACGATGATAACTACTGAAGAAATGAAATGAATGGTAAAAGTCATTTAATGGATGAGAACGTTAGGTAGTATACAATACAGTGAATGATGTTGTATAATGAACAATCATAATTTTAATCTGATTAGCATAAGAAAATAGGATTACCTAGATTACTGAAGGGTCTAAGTTTGAACAAGTAAGTGGGTGTAGGCATGCACCTCTGATGGGAAAAAAACAACAATTGTTCAGTGATCTTTCAATTTCACACATCAACTTTAGCTGACATTAATTCATGATGGGAATCATCCTCATTGAATCATGTAATTGCTTGTATACAATATAAATCTTGGCTTGTCTCATATGATATTTTACCTAATGATTAATTTACTAACTTCATTAAATCACAAACCGATCTAAGTTAGACTATCATTAAAAGCCGGAAAGCATTGAATAGTCTTTTTGTCCTGGTAAGGAACTCGTCAATTGTGGCCAAACTTAGATCGGTTTATGATTTTAATGAAATTCAACAATCGTCACTAGTAGCTAGCTTCAAGAGGAAATTTCCGGATTACTGATAAAAAGCAGTGACTAATGGAGTTCAAACATGTCGGCTGTGAGGTAGTTACCCACCGAAGAAAAAAGAACACGGTTGCGTAATGTAGTGGATTGACTGAAATTAGAGATTAACACCGCTGGATGCCATCTAAGTGGTCTACAGGTTAGGTGCTCGCGCGGAAGAGCGAAGGCCTTGGGTTCTATTCTCTGTGGCGGGGTATCGTGGATGCGCACTGCAGAGGGATACTAGAGACGAAACAGTCGTTCAATGCTTCCTGGTTTTCAATGATGATCTAACTTAGTTCGACTCATGATTCCAACGAAAATCAACAATCTCTACAACTCCATACTGAGATTTACTGACTATCAGAATGTTTAAAATGTCAGATAAATTACCACTGAGCAACTTAATGTACATGTATACACAACAAAAATGAGATCGAGATGAGAAAACTATCAATGAATTAAAAATCACTTGAATTAACTTTTACTTTCTTAATTACCGTATATTTATCATTACAAATGAGAAATTGCTTTTGTCAATAACATAGAATCTGGCACGTATGTGTATCGGTTCATGTTGATACAATACATTAGAACGGAGAGATATCAGATACCGTAATTAGTAACAGTATTAGTGGTAGTAGAAAAGATTAAGAATAAAAGATATGAATGGAAAAGGAAATAGAGAACATTGAAATAAAAAGGATCGTGAAACACTCAAGAAACTTAGGTTCTGAAGTAAAACAATGAATGAATGCACCTGTCCCATTGTAAATGATTCTGATCCTTGTCACTCAAAATCTCTAATCACTTTGGTTACAACAACCGCGCAAATCTCGAATGGAAAATCATCACACATCTTGTTTGACACCTAAAGAACATTTCGTATCATTTAAAGACCAATAAAAGAACAGTTCACCGAATTCATTGTCAGCCGGATGAGAAATGAAAATCGCATCGAACATAAGAGGGATGAATCTTCTTTTTTTGTTTAGAAAAAGAGCGTTCAATTTAAATGATGGGGGTTCAACTATTCTGAGCTAATAATGAATTTTGTCTTGTTTTAGACCAGTTTTTCGTTCGACGAATTGTACGCCAACGTACAATTTGTCAAAAGAAATTTCACGAATACTGAGACATCTAGTAGATTCAGCCAAACACTCCATCAAATCCCCAGCACAATTCCTGGACCAAATCAAGGATATTCAAATCAACAACGACGAACTGATGATATCCTTCGACGTAACAGCACTGTTCACCTCAATTAAACCACAGTTAGCAAAAGAAAATATATCCCTGCTACTCAACAACGACACAAATCTCATCAAATACACGAAGCTTCAAATTCAAAGTCTACTGGAACTCATCGATTTATGCCTAACAACATATTTTCAATTCAACAACAAAATATACGAACAAACAAAAGGGACACTACTGGGATCACCAATATCAGGACTGATTGCAGAGGCAGTGATGCAAAGACTAGAAGCCACGATATTACCAGTGATCAAGCCAAAAATTTGGATTCGCTACGTAGACGACACCTTCGTCATCGTCGAAAAGAATGAACTGGAAAACACATACAAACTGATCAACAACGTTTTCAATGACATCAAGTTCACAATGAAACAGGAGTCAAACAACCAACTAGCATTCTTGGATATATTGATCACTAGAACTGATACAGGAAAACTGGAAACTCAAGTATATAGGAAACCGACCCATACAGATCAAATTCTCAACTACAACAGCAACAACCCAAGAGCTCACAAAATCAACAGCGTACACACATTGTTCAAGAGGGCGATGACACACTGCGGCACACTGGCAGCACGAAAGAATGAAGAGAAATACCTGAAGGACATATTTCAAAAGAACGGCTACCCAATCAAATTCATCAAAAAGCATCAACGGCACACAGCATCAGAACCTAAGCCAAGCACAAAAATCAACAAAAGGATCACCCTACTGTACATACAGGGAATATCAGAAACCGCAACGAGACTGCTGAAAAACCTTCGGGATAGGTGTGGCACACAAACCAACAAAATCACTACAATCAATCCTATGCAAACCAAAGGATGAAATAACAAAGGAAAACAAATCAAACATCATCTACAAAATGAATTGTACCAACTGCGACAAACACTACATCGGACAAAGCGGACGCCCCCTTCACCTACGCCTACATGAACATCAATTAGCAGTCAAACGTCATGATATCTCTTCACTTATATCAATACACGTGGATAACTACGGACACTCGTTTGATTGGGACAATGTAGAAATCTTAGATAGAGGAAACTCCCGAAACACCCGAAAATTTTTAGAAGCCTGGCACTCAGGTCAATCAGCAATCAACAAACATATTGAAATCAATCCAATTTATCAACCAGTCAGGAAAATCATGCATAAATATAAGAACAAAAATCAAACCAATGGGAGACACAACCAAAACAAAGAAGTAAACAATGATAGATTTAAGGTCAATAAGAACCAATCAACATCGAGGTGCACAGAACAAGCTGTGAAACACATATGGAGAAATTCAAGCACTTCACTTCTATCTGAAGTTTGTGCTGATGATGTCGTTCAGAAGAACGATGAAAGCTCCACGACCAAACCATCCAGCTCAGAGAACAAAACTCCACCAAAAACTAATCCATATTACCACTGACTGATATTTAACACCAAAAAATGATTCATTTTTGTATTGGTTGTTGAATCATCCCATTGATGTTTAGGACTGCAATTGACTAGTCTCTTATTGGCATATGTGCATCCTGTGCGGATTGCCTCGATATTGCCTTCAGAAAAAAGTATTGTAAGCTGAGATGATGGTGGCTAGCAGTGGAATCCAGGACGTGTGTTTGTACAAGCTAGTGGCTATCTGAACTCAGTAGCTAAGTGGATAATGTGATGGCGTTAGAAGCGAACGGTACTGGGTCCGAGTCGCGGAGTGAACATCAACTCCGGGACGCAGATAGATCAAGCTGACGAGTCCTAAATAAGACGAAAAGCGCATCCTGGATTCCACTGCTAGCTATCATCTCAACTTCAAAAAATAATTTCAGTGTGATATGGCACGTATCCTTCCTTGATGAATGACAATGAGAATTATACATGATATTATTCAACACCTAATTATTGGTACTCGAAATATATATAGAGGAAAACTTGTTTAGCAAGTATATGTATGTATGTGCATTTATATGCTTTGTTTTATGTCATATCTTTCGTGTGAATTCATAATGCTGAATTCAAGCTGGAGTTTTTAACCTGCCGTCATGCAAAAGTTGAAATTCCACATAAAAATTATTGGTTTATTATTGTTCTTCATACTATAATATTTATTAAATACTGGATAAAGATTCGTGTACAATTGGATTCCGAACACAATTTAAATATGAAAATTAGAGATGTGGTGTATTCTACTTATGCTTGCAGACACAAGTAGTATTTAACATCAGTCGGAAGCGGAATGTCTGCGAGCAGAAGGTTGAGAAGATAGAATTGAAGAGAAGAGAGAAGGTAGTTGAAAGCAATCAAGATAACAGCAGTAATGAAGGGACAGTGAAGCTTGTAAGAGACAATTCAAAGATGTGCAAATAATGTATTTGATGCATGACTTTCACGTCTTACTAAACCACTGTGTAATTGTTCATTATACAATAAACTGATCTTCCCCACTTGACTTCTTTGTTCACTACAGTGAAACTAGTCAAGTGCATAAACCAAAATAGATGGAATGCCTGCTTCCAACCTGTAATTTAGTGATTGAATGTTGAATATCTTAAGCATAGTGAGTCAGTTAGACTAAAATATTTCAGGTAAAAAATAATGAAAGAAAGAAACATAATGAACTAATTTATAAGTTTTATTTACCTTTAATACGTTTTTGCCAAACCAATGGTGGTGATGTTGTTGGCAATGATGATGGTGATGATGATGACGATGATGGGTTAGATGATTCTCTTGATTCATGAGATGTTGGTCGTTGATTTGTATTATTATTATTAGATGGCGTTAACCCGCCACCACTACTACTATTACTACTGCCAGTAGTATTTTCCAAACTAGTAGTAGGCCATAAATTATTGCTTAATGTTAAAATCTCTTCAGCCACTTGTGCTCTCCATGTTAATACTTGTAATTGTGCAACAGCTGGTAAAATATAACTAATTAGTGCTTTCGATGGACAATTCAATGTAGGATCATCAATATCGGTAGTACTATTACGTTTACTCATAGAACTTTCTTTAGTTTTTAATTGTAAACAAGAATACGGGATTAAATCGTCGCCTAAGCCAAGTACTAATAAATGAACAAGTAAGTGTACTTCAGGTATATCCTGTAGATTTTTTGAAATAAAAAATACGATGAAATAGAAAGGAAAATTGGTTTTACTTTAAATATGAATAATTGTAATACATTCAAGGTTTGATATGTTGGGGAGACCCAGAAAATTCCTCGAAAAAAACCCAAAAGAGGTTCTGAAAACGCAGAGAAACATCTTATCTAATCAGTATTCAACAAAGGTTTTACCAGAAACATCTAGAAAGCGAAGTCACATGTCATGTTTCTGATTAGATAATTACTTATATTGCTACTATCTTAAGTAGCGTTAGAGAATCTTCCAGAAGCCCAAGGTTATTAGAAACGTTATAAATACCCCAAATTTTCTTTATATAAATGAACCTAGGAGTAAAGTGTTCTTTTCATATTTCGCGCCTTTTTTGTGTGTTCAAGTTGTCGTGGAGATTAGCCTAAGGGTTACTAGAAGAGCATAGAAAACCGAATCTAGTGTTCAATTAGAAGATTTATCAGATAAACAGGAAAAACTTGAAATTTATGCATAGAATTTCCTCTTTACATCATTTAGCATTACAGAAGTAGATCTATAGGAGTATAAATAAAATGAATCATTCACAGATAAGTGAGTGAAATAAATCTATATAATACGAAAATATTCAACTTTTAAAGATCTATTATATAATTTCTTAAATCACTAATACTTAATGTCTTGTAGATATCACTACCTATTACAACGGATCCTACATTCGACTACAGAGTGAAAATCAATAATCCATAATTTTATAGATCAATTGAATAGGCATATTTGAAACAAAGCATTCCTATAACTTTTATGTAACACTACCAACTATAATCTGAGCTATCTCTCTGTTTCCTTTCAATATTGTTATCATTTCTGTGTATTGAATTATTTATTTATTCACGAAGTACTTTTAAAAGACTGAAAGCAGTCTGTTTTTGACATTATTTAGTTATGAATAGATGAAAATAGTTGAAAAATTTGGGTATAGTTGGATGAGTACTAAGGGGTGCAATGATACGGTGAGATCAGTTTTTGTGTAGTGAAACTCATCGGGATTAATCAAAGTTGTTTCTGGTACCACAGTGACGACGATCTTATTGTAAAGGTCTAGTAGACAATGCTTCATTAGTGTTAGTTCTATACTGCATATTCATGAAATCTAAGCTATACGAGCTAGTAACTTCAATGGTTCGTAAAATTAGGTGTAACAAATTTGAAGTTCAATTATGCCAAATCAATCATATTGATAACTGTTAGTCAACTAAGAAAATTGCCTTAGTTAGAACAATGGCTTCAATCGTTTAAACACATCTCATACATGATGGAACAATTTGTGTATTTCGTATTATTTACTGTTACTGGTTTGAAGACGTTATCAATTTTTTGTAACATAAGAGAAAAGATATTGACGTTAGATTATCAAGAACTCGTTTAACCTGTAGCAGCCTCTATTTTATGATACACCTACGCGACTTACCCTAACTTTCAAACAAATGCATTATACTGATCTTTCCACTTATTATGTCATTTATACATGGGATCTTGCCATGTATGCACGATAGTATGTCTGTGTCCATATGCTGGCTAGTTTGTGTCATGCTTATAAATGTTGACTCATGTTTTAATCACATTGAGAAAGGACATCTGCCTTATTTGCTTTTTTCGCTTCATCTGTCTGTCGAATTGAATGTATGAAATACAAACATCCAAAACTCTTGTATTCGACATTTTATTATCCGCGTTGTTATGAAGGGGATTTGCCGACAGAACATATGAGATGTAAGTAGAATCCTTATTTCGTCTAAATGCACCATTGAAAGTTCGATCAATTTGGAGTAAGAACATAGGCACTCCTATAGCAGCGAGCTCCGGTCTGTCAGAGCTAAAAACCTATTGTGCAACCAATAATTTATGCTCCATTTATTGGTACAAAATAAGATACTGATGAGAGGCCTATCAGCCAATCGGAAAACACTACCTGGTTATAAAACATCTAACAGTAAAAAGCAATAATATAACAGTGCAATAATACCTATAATTTGAATAGTCAACACCCATATGTCGAATTATTCTTTTTATTAGAAGGAAAAGGTTAAGTTTACATATTAAGAGTCGAGTCATTGTTATGAGTTAGAGGTTACCACCCCACAAAGCTTTTGCTACCAAATGGCATCAGCGATAATGCAAAAAGGATAGGGCTAAACATTAAAAGATGAGCTCAATTTTTGAGTTTGATTTAGAAATTAAAACTAAGGGTTTTGAATCAAACGGACATCAATGATCATCCAATACTTTGTCACCCTTCTATTTACAGGCTTAAGAAACTTAGGGTTGAGATTTAAAGTAAGTTTGCAGATGTTTTATTTACATGTAGAAGCAATGAGACGACGATGAAGAGATCTATTCATAGAAAAGACAGAATCACATATTGAAATCAATGTGGATTAAGAAAAGAAATTATATCTAATACTTCTTGATTTTTATTTGCTTCCTCATTTAAAACAGTTTGCCAAATAAACCAAGTTTAAGCGATATATGAATCTCTCAACAAAGCATCTTTGCAAACTCAAAAAAGTCTGTTTATTCTGCAATGGGTAATAGTTTAATGGCCTGTTATTTTGACGTCAATTAGATATGACGATGATGTTGAAGATGGGTTCATCACTTTAGTAGCCCTATATCTGATTCCAATTAGATCAGACAAATGATTGTCGTATCTAATTGACGTCAAAATGATAGGCTACTGACATGTCCAGAATATAAGGAAACGTGTCTGAGAGCTCAACGATAACCACATCCTATCTATTCCTTAAGAAAAAATGTAGGCCTATATATATATATATATATATATCAACCAACTAACTTACCCGAGGTAATTTGTCTTCATAAAGTCCATTAAGTACGTAACGAATTAATGATGTACAAATGGTGTAAACAACCCACGGATCTCGACAAGCCATATGCATATCTCTGTATACAAACATGAAAAATTAAACAAATAATTCATTTAAATATAAGTCTATCTTAATAAATCCAATACTTTTTGTTATAATGGAGAAACAAATATTTATGACCTTAAATCACATTTCATATAATCCAACTGAATTTACCAACACAACACAGAATAGTCGGTAAGTGAAAAGAATTCAGTATTGTACAGTTTGTTTACCAATCCTACATGAAGCACCTGAATCCGCAAGATGTTTTTAACATACGTTATAAAGTGTTCTCGCGGGCGAATTTTCCAGGTAAGAAATGTGCCTATTAATATTTTGAATGACAGGTGATTATACTCAACTGAAAATAATCTACAGTGCTTTTTTCTTCTCAACTGCCGACCAGATCAATTTGACATGTCGTTTCCTTAATGTTATTGGTTTTGACAGGACCTACAAAACCAATAACGAAAATTTGTTTTCGTATCAGCCGGGACTTTTAGTCGATACATATGAAATCAGTTGTTGTCTAAGAAACACAAATGGTCTAATGCATTCCGAATGGCTGTAAAACTTCCTGAACAAAATAATATTAACTTCGTTGAGGCAAGACATAAAATTTTGAAGTCCCACAAACTTACAAGAAAAACACCCGTGCTTAGATCCACCTTCAGTGTGATGCTTAGGACTGGATATTGGATGGAAGCATGAGTACAAAAATACATATCAAGATGTTACAAGACAATTATTGATCGGGAGCCCTAAATACGTCGTCTTCAAGATAAACTGACACTTTTTGTATGTCAGTTATTGAAACGTCACCTTTCACATATGTTATAACACCAGTCGACATGTTCATGACTGTTGACGCTACAGGCATTTATAGGATCCTACGGAAATCCCGTCAATTGTTCCTGAAGCTTTTATACGGAAAACGGATTGCCGTACCGTCATGCCATAGATCCAACAGACAAGTGATACCGACTATCGAACGAACGTGGATTTGGATGAAACGCTAATTCATGAAGATGTTGTTTCAATAAACACTCAAATCAATTCTCATCAAGCCGTAGTCAATATGCTACATGTACATAATTTGAGAATAACAATCATACTGTGATGATAGTAATATTTTTTATGTTTCATCAAACCTCGATATCATCTAATAAACATTGAAAAATTAAGATAATGATTTCGTCTAGCTGTATACTTACAAGCAATTTGCTATTGACATTACTTAGAAAATAAGCTAAACCGTATACTTTCCAAACACAATAACTGATGCCGTTCTTTCGGAAGTGAAAAGACATTCGAATGTAAAAATGCGAATTTTGACATCCAATCAAAACACTGTATGCTACCTTGATTTTAACTAATCAGATTAGAAAGAAGAACAATTTCTAACGGATTTAAAAATTATTACAGACAATAAAATGTTTGTTCCTTAACACATAAGTACATACATTCGGAAACAAGTTAACCAATCACTTATTTTGTTAATTACACCACGAAAAATTTCATTACTAGGGTTCATGTATCACAATAATATCGGCTAGGGAATCACATACTTAATAGACTGTAGGCTAAGTGTATGTTTGAGCACGCTCAGTGACAAACCATATTTCAGTTTATCAGTATGGGGATTTGTGGAGATTATAATATTTCCACAGTTGCATTCATGAGTCGATTTAAGCTAAACCATCACTGAAAACCTGGAAGCATCGGACAGTCGTTCCTACCTAGTATGGGACTCATCAACAGTGCCCATCCATGACCCTACATACAACACTTGAACCCAGGACTTTCGGTCTCGCACGTGAATGCCTAATCTCAAGACCACTGAGCCGATATCCAACAGTGTTAATGTTTAACTTCAATCGATCGATAATCTTGCGCAAATATTTATCCAATTGTCTGAGGTAGATACCTGTCTCTATCCAACATGGATTGGACTCCATTGGTCACGGCTTCTCATTAGAGTTCCGGGAAATCCACCTTGAAGCCAGTTACTAGTGAGCACATGATGATTATTATCAGAATGAGGGTTTGTGGAGATTGTAGTAATTTTAATAGTTGAATTCACGAGTGGTGGTCTAGCCTAGATCGACTAATGAATTCAAGTGTTAAAATATTTCACTTTTTGATAGAGTTTAATTCTCTGAACTGGATGGTTTTGTCGTGGAGCTTTCATCGTTCTTCTGAACATCATCAGTGCAAACTTCACCTGAGCTACAAATCTCCACTATTTCAAAATATTTCACTTTCACTACTGCACATCATGATATCATATTAAGCATCCTTCGAATTATATTCGCTATATTTTGTAGATTATGATTAAACCTAAATTACTAACATTTCAACCTTTTTAGTTTATTATCTAATTCATTTCTTATTACACTGCTGATGTAAAGTATGTCTGGAATATATGATTCATATAACGGAGGCTGATAATTGCGTTCTGGACTGAAGCGGTTGGGTTAGGAGAGAAGCTACTACCTCAAAAGAACCAATAAGAACTCTAGGCTGCTCGTACAGGTTTATGTGTCACTGGTCTGATCGTATAAGTCGGTGTCTCTAATCGGCGATATTATCTCGCGATATATTAACAGACCACTAGCCATAACGGTTAATAAATGTACAAAAATATTGCAGTAAACAAAAATTTCGATGTACTTCAGCCTTCAGCCACACTTTGGATTCCCACGATCTCCAGCCAACCTGAATGGCAAGTTAATGTAGGTCCTCCGTCTCTTTACGAAGTTGAAAAAGCAATAGGAAATCTGAAACGAGGGAGAGCAGCAGGCCCTGACAGGTTTACTCCTGAGATTTTTAAGGATGATGGTTTAGTATTAGCAGTGAGATTAACTGAGGTCTTAGGTAGAATTTGGGAACTGGACGTAATCCCATCTGACTGGTCTCAATCACTGATTGTTCCAGTTTTTAAGAAAGAATAAAAGTCCTCTTGTGACAATCACAGAGGAATCAGTTTGGTTAATATAGTGTCTAAAATATTAGCTTCAATAATACTTCGACGCCCAAACAAAGCTCGTGAAGAACAGACTAGAGAAAATCAGGCTGGTTTTCGACCTGGACGTGGTTGTATAAATCAGATATTCACACTACGTCAGGTTCTAGAACACAGACACACGTTCAGACGCCCCACAATGGTAGTATTTCTCGACCTTAAGGCGGCACTCGACTCTGTTGATCGTGAGGTTCTATGGCAGTGTTTGCCACTGAAAGGAGTACCAAAGAAGTACATTAACCTTATAAAGGCCCTCTACTCGAACACAACTGGTAGAGTGAGAGCTTATGGTGAACTGTCATCATAATTGATTACCTCAAGTGGTGTTCGTCAGGGCTGTCCACTCTCTCCATTCTTGTCCAACTTTGTCGTCGACGTACTTTTAGAGATAACACTTTCCTCGTCTAGATTTCCAAGGGTTGAACTTCTACCAGGAGATCCACTTGTTGACTTAGAATATGCTGGTGACATAGTTTTATTTGGTGAAGACGATGACAAAATGCAGTCTTCTGACTACTATAAGCAACAATGCAAGCATGTTCGGGATGCGATTCTCTCCCTCGAAATGCAAAATGTTGCTTTAGGATTGAGCTCCATCGACACCCGATCTAATGATAGGGAGTGAAGTGGTTGAGCGTGTCGATTGCCTCACTTATCTTGAAAGTCTCATCAGCCCTTGTGGTCTGGTGTGTGACGAAATCTTAGCACGGATACAGAAGGCTCGACTAGCTTTTGCCAACTTGCGTCATTTATGGTGTAGGTGAGATATCCGTCTACCAACCGAAGGACGAGTTTACTGCGCAGCAGTTCGTTCCGTCCTACTTTATGGCAGTGAAACACGGCCGGTAAGAGTAAAGGATATTCGTAGGTTACTAGTATTTGATCATAGGTGTCTTCGAAACATTGCTCGTATATCCTGGGACCATCGAGTAAGTAACGAAGTTGTTAGGAAACGGGTACTAGGTAAGGATAGCAAATCGATTGATGAAGTGGCGAAACTTCATCAGTTGAGATGGCTGGGACACGTGTTACGTATGCCCAACCACCGACTGCCTCGACGTGCGATGTTCAATGGTATGTGAGTAGGTTGAAAGAAGGCTAGGGGTGGCCAGACCAAAACATGGCACAAGTTCATGAAGTCACTGACAAGTGAACTGAGCCATGTTGGTAGGTGTAGACTACCTGGTTGGGGACCGCGAGATGATAGCAACCGGTGGTTAGAGACCTTGAATGACATGGCTCAAAATCGTTTGGAATGGCGCAGGTGCATTCACTCTTTGTGCTCTCCCAAATTATAATCTTCTGAATTCTTCATGTCCCTTATTTTTTCTCTTTCCAAATTTATTTCACTGGATTATACTCTTTAAATAACATCTTCAAACCCTAATCTTCCCGATTACTGCTTATACTCTTACCACCTCTACCACTACTGGATTTGAATCGACAACTGCATCTCTGTGCTAATGTGGTGTGGCAACTCGAACTGATGTACGTACGTACGAAGTTATACGTTGTGACTGACTGACTGATATAAACCAAAACGTATACGTAGGGATTGTAAAAGCAGAGCTGATGGGATTTCTTCATATAATTTCTTTTTTTGTTCATTGACGATGTTACTGGTTTTTTTCAATAGCTATGCTGGCAGTAGCTTCTTCACAAATATCATTCGATTACTGATGACTATTAAAAAATTAGTCATAGAATTCAGCTTGGAAAAAAACAATTATATCAAAAACATTCTCTAGATAACCGTTAACATCTCTTTAAATTAAATTCCACCTACTTTTCTAAAAAGTTTACATCAGCTGTCTTATCTACATCCTCTAAATCGCACTGTTTTTCTGTACTTGAAGGAGATTGTTTTCGATTGGTTTTACCACTTTTAGAATTTTTACCGCGAGAAGAACTAGAATGTCCACGTTTAGACATTTCTCCACTGATATTCTCATTAGATTCTCCATATAATTCATGACATTCATCAGCTGTTTCTTTAGCCCAACGACGACGTTGTAACTGTAAATGATAGGCTAATTCACTAGCATGCCTTTGATCAATTCGACGATTGCGAACACATGCATCTAAGCACCAAACAAAACGATGAATTCTATCAGGAACACACAGTCGATCAATTTTCGCTTCGTTTAAACTCATCAATAAATCAAAACGTAGTGTGCATAAAGTGGCTGAAGCAACTGAAGGTTGATTAGGCATAAAAGCTAATGGGATATATGGAATAGGTTGATTAGCTAAACGTTGTGTTATATCTGAAGATTTTTCTTTACTTGATAAACGTTGTCTACTTCGTTTAGCTGGTGGTGGCTGTTCATCTATTTCCTCAGATGAATTATTATTTCCAATTGTCGATTTGATTTGCTGTTCCATAAGTGAATAAGCCGCTTTTTCACATTTTATACATTGATCACGAAGTATGCTTATAGTCTATAGTGAAGAAGAATTAATAAATAAACAATAAACGTCATCACTACTATTGTGGTATATGCTATTTATATCGACGGGCATGAATAGCATGTGACAACAATCAGAAGTGGAATGTCTGGCAGCAAAGGGTTGAGAAGATCGAATTGAAGGAGAACAGAAATGTAAACAGAGAGTAATTGTAATAACAACAGGAACGAAGAAATGATGAATTTTGTAAGAGACAATAGATAGATGTGCAAATGAAGTATTTAATATATGGTTTTCATATGTTATGAGGACATTTTGTAACTTGTACTAAACAACAAATCGGATATCCCTACCAAGTCTTCCTTCACAACACTACCACTACAATACTAAAAATAACTAAACATAACACTGATGAAACAATACACTGTTAGTACATTATTATTATTATTCACTCAGTCAGTAAGTCAGTCAAACACAACACAGAACCATGTACATGCGTACATCGGTTCAATTTGCCACAGCCCATTATTTGCATAGTGAGATAAATTTATCAAGGTAAATTGCAGAATAATCAATGTAATAGCAATAGTAATGGTAATAGAAAAGAAATTTCTTATTACCAGGTAAAGATTCATACATTTGACCTTGAGGAGTAATAACACAATCCCATTGTTCAAATCAAAATCGGGGAAGCCTAGTTTAAACCTACAACTTAATGGCTAAACGTTGAACATATTAGCTACTGAACCAATGTTAGTAAAATTCTTTATTTAAATATAATTCTAAAGTTAGAAACATATTTTGAATTTACTGGTCGATTTGTTTGAATACAATTATTCGAAAACTAATTATATTCTCACTGATAATTTTACTAACAAGTATGTAAGAAAGTTAAACCTGGATGAAAAGTTCCGATATTATAAACGAAACAACAAAACAGTCATTTGATGAATAATAAATCGTCACTGTGTAAATAGTATTGCATTGTATATTTTATATCGATCAGAAAACTGGTAGCTAGATCCAAAAAAACGATAGTGTAGGAATTTATATATTCTTAGAAGAATTTAAGCGAATATTCATACTGCAAATGTAGGAAAATATATTATTTAATAGACTAATTTTTATCATATTCATGAACTAAGAGAAAATAATGTTTCAGTACAATTGATCGATAATGATGAGGCAAGAACTAAGTCTAACGACTGATTATTCACTTCACTGAAGAGTGAATGACCCATAGCAGACATATCCTCTAATCGTTTATTCGTTGTGTTTTGTGCGTAGATATGTTATTTTGTTGGAAAAGCCTATTCTACCGGAAAACTGTCTCGTCTCGTGAGCAACTCGATCAATTGACCCCTTCATATCATTGCATATTACAATCGATCAGTAATCCAACGATCAATTTAACAATACTTAAATCTTCGTTCATTAAGTAAAAAAAAAACTTTAATCGAAGTATCGATTGATCGGTTTAATCTAGAAATTTAAGAGAAAGACGCTAACTGAAACAACAGTGTATATCATCTTCACAAGAGGTAGAGTTTTCGTAACGAAGTATTTTAGTATATACGTCTTACGATATAATTGTCACTATAATTGGTAGTATTATTAATATTAATTTATATTAGGTTTATTTAAGAATACTAGAACACCAGATAGGATATTCAGTTACTTTATCATACAAGACTTGTCCTTCTCCAATCATTTCAACAATCCGTACAATTGAAGGATCACGTCTACGACGACGAGGTGGCCAATAAAGAATTGGGACGAGATCAGCTGTTGTCGATGCAGTAGACGTGATAGACATTGAAAGGGCATCCAAAATAGCGGAAGACCATGTAGATTGAAATGTTGCTATAACTTTATCTAATTCCTCTTGAAATCTGATTTTTTTGACAAACAAGAAAATATAATTTGCGTAAACAAACACTATTTAGTATATTTAACTAAAAATTTAACGCATACGTTAGTTCACTTAGAGGTATCACAAATATCACAGGAAGTAATATTTTCAACTATACTAGAACTCAGAATAACCTGCTTTATCATGAGACTTCCTATTTTCATTTTTGAAATACGTGTACATAAAAAACCTCGCCAAGATCACACAATTTGAAGATTCTAGTTTGAAGCAAACGCATCTACAATTTTACGAAACCGTAGAACTGCTAATTTATTTTATTTTCAGACATTTCAGGAAGGGAACAGGGTTTGCAGTAACAAAGATTTGAACAGAACAACATAAATTCATTTTAAGAGATGGATGATGGCTGACAGTGGAATCCAGGACATGTGTTTCGTCCTATTTGGGACTTGTCAGCTGGATGTACCTATATCCCAAAGTTGGTGTTCACTCAGGAACTCGGATCCAGTACCATTCGCTCTAAACACTATCGCGTTATCCACTTAGCTACTGAGTTCAGATAGCCACTAGATTGTGCAATGGGATGAAGTTTAATTCATTTTTGTATTGGTTGTTTGAATCTTCCAACTGACGTTTAGATCTGTAAATGAATAAATTTATTATATTTTATTGGGATCTTGTCAACTGCTTAAATCCTGTAATATTTAAATATTAAAGTCAAAAAGTGAGTTGAAAATACCTACAGAAACAAAATTTTAAAATTCTTTAATTAACTGAGCTCCATCCATTTTATTCTTACTTACCATTAGCGTTTGCTCATTACGTAACCGCTTAATTCTAGCGTCACAGTTTTTATTTTTATTAATAATAATGTTGTTGCGACATATTTGTAGTTTTATTTAGTCTCTTTAAATTTATAGATACCTTTGCTACACTATGCTGATGTTTGATTGTAACAACTCTCAAACAAATTCACCGAAATATTTTCGACACACTGTAATTTTAATGTTGAAATATTATGTAATGTAAACAGCTATATATTAACCTAGTGAAATAATATGAATTTAAATTATTTTGTTTTTGTTTCTTCCAAGGCTTCACAGCATTTGTTTCAGGAAACCGAGTACTAACCTACGATGTAAACTGAGAAAGATAATAAGGAAATCTCATCTATGTTCGATAAAACACACTTCAATTGGTCGTCATTGAAAACAATGGTACATCATAACGTTCCAACCGATATATAGATTGGCTTTTATAAAATTTACTATATAAGCATTCATAGAAATAAATTCCAGATTACCATAGATGGAGTCAATTTGTATGAATTTATAAAATTAGAGTTTTGTTTAGAGTGACATTGATTGGAAAGGCAGACTGACATACTTAGGAGAAATTATTCCCCATCCATAAGAAGTGAGTCCACCTTATAAAATGTGACATTTGCGACTCGAGCCAGTAAAGATCAAAAAATCTCAACGAATAAAATTTATGTAACTTTGGATCGATGGAGGAAGTACCCCTGTTTTTCACAAGAGCACAAGGTTATGTAGCGATAATCGTCCGTTTTTAGAGACTATATTTGAGACAAATAATGAGCTGGAACGTTAAATTATCCATTTTTCTGTGACCAAATCAGTCGTAAAACGAAACTCATACTATTTGTTAGATTAGAATCAGTTTTGCAACATGCATAAAGTCATTCAGCTAATTTAAACTATCACTGACTGATAGAAACATTAAAATTATTTTTTTATTTATTTTTATTCATTTTAACACATATATATTGGTACAAGGAGGCACCAAATAGATATGAGCCACATAAATCATTCGATTTGTGTGAGGGCTGTGATACTGCCCGGGTGCCCAGACCGAAGCAGGTGGTTTTCTTAGAGGGCTACACCTCGAGCCTTTGACCTAAAGGTCTGATCCACAAGGCAGTGGAGCATCGTAAGGAGATGCAGTCTCATGGTAGCCAGCGACAAACGGTTGGTTCATATGCCATTTGTTCCCTCAGGATACTGGAGCCCATGTACACCATTGGTTTGGAATCAGAATTTCCCAACTCCCCTAGGTGGACTCTGTATGTCCACCAACTCGGTTAAAGCACCGGACATTCGCTTTTCGTCCTCTCAATTTTGTAAACAACACCCCCACCACGAGAAGGCAATGAGTGGGACTTCCCTGGCAGAGGCTATATACGCGTGGCCATGTGAGAGCATATAGAGAGGGAGAGCGAACTCCCCATTCTTGGCCGTACCAGGGCCGAGATAGAAATATTGAAATAATATCACATTGGTCCACCAAAACTATTAAATCTCATGGGTTGGTGAACTGTAAAGGTTTACATCATCATGTCAACTGTAGTCAATAATGGAATATGTAATGATGACATTTCTGTGAATACTAATAACTGCGAAACCACATCATGCAACATTGTATAATCAAGCACTCCGAACGGTAGTAAATAAAAACAAGAATATGCAATGTTATCAAAAGATTAAAACCATAAGATAGTAATTTACTGTTGTTTTTCACCACAAGATAGGTTAGTTTAATAGTTAATAAACCAATTTATAGTAAATGATTTGGTGACAAAACGTTATTTACTAATAAGAAACGGTAGGCATAATTTACATATACTTATTGGTTGTTAAATATGAGCCAGAGTAATACTTATATCATTACGATCAAACGTTCGAATTTTCCTGTCGAAGAGATTCATTCATCTATTCTAAGTAACTTACGGAAAAATGGTTATATCGAGATAATGGACGTAAGATGAAACGCTAACAAATACCGATTAAAATTTATTCCTGAATATCAACAAAGGGATAATTCAAACGCATATTAATAGTAATGCAAACACCATAGTTGTTAAGTTGGTGGCTATTTTGACTCAGTAGGTCTATGAATAACATACTGATATTTGATACAAGAGGCACAAGACTGAAAATCAACACTGGAATACAGATATATCTAGATAACGAGTTTTAAATAGAACGATACGCATGTCCTGGATTCTGCTACTAGCCACAGTGTCTACTGTGAATAACAAGATAACACTGCGTGGTCTTTACTGTCAAATGAATTATATTAGTCACTACTAGGCAGCGAATAAGTGTTTAAAACACTCAGCATTCATCCCATAAATCATAAAATCTAAATCCGCTCTACCTACCTCAGTTCGGACGATCATATAGTGCATACGATTTCGCATATGAACAGTCTGGATTAAAGCTGAGTACATAAATCTGAGACAGGCGAATGGCTTAGATTAAGTCAAATCATGCACAACAGTATCCATGACCAGATATATGATGTTATCTGGGAACAGGCCCTACTGTAAGGCATGTTTTATGTATGGTGTCACTTATTAGCATGAAGTGTCTGTAAAAGTGAAGAGAATTATAAGCCTTCATTTTTATCATTCCAGTCGACGATTTCATCTAACAACCTAGCCTATAACTGTCCTCATGAAGAATCAGATTGTGTATTAATTGATTACCAGATAGCTTGTATGTTTATAACAATAAAAATTTACCACATACTTGTGAGGATGAGCAACCCAAATATGACGTAAGACCGGTAAAGGAGCATCATCATATAAATATTTGTTGTCAACAATTAGGTTGACATGCCTTTCTTTAATCGAATTCATTTTACCAAGAACCTTTAAATCAAAAGGAAGATAAGCAGTGATCACATAAAACACGATTATCTTAACAAAAAACTATTAGTACCAATTATAACAGAAGCGTCGATCGATACAAGCTGGCGGCCTGCTTGAATATCTGGGCTACCTGTTCCTCTGATCTAGATATTTCATCAAGTTATTTGTTTTGTTGTTTGTTTTAGCACATCATTATGTCTATTGTGCGCACAATTTATTCAGGCGCGTTTATGAAAAATTTACAACCTTTCGCTATACGGGATACAAAAAGGTACAATCAGCGACATCATGGTGGCTGGCAATATGCATTGAAACGAATGAACATTGATCAAATGTGGATTACCGAACTCCTAACATCTAACCGGTCATCATTCAAAATTTATCGTCACAATAGATCAAGGTATAAGAAAAGGAAACTTGTTGAAATACTTTATGCTGAGAATTCTATTTTGTACCAAAAATATAATGTTGAATAAAGCTTCTAATAATAATAATAATAAATAATAAATACGATATATCCGTATATATAACTCAAGGAACATTAATAATAAGACAGTATCAGTAAGTTCGGCGCTCAGAAACTTGACTGACAATCATACTACGAACACGAGAAAGATTATAAAATAGTATTTCACTATTCTATTATCCACATCCCTTGTAGGTGGATTACACACATTTAGCAATCGATTTTACCTGGATCTTTTAGTTCAATAGTCATTTAGATTGTATGTATAAGTGACACAATTACACTATTTACCCGCACCAGTTTAATAACCTGAAGTGAGTTGAAAATATTCAATAACAGCAATAAAATAGACGACCTGAACCTCATAATTTGTTTGTACTGCTATTGTTGATACAAAAAATGTCTGCATTAACGACAAATCCCTAAAGGCAGTAGTTACAATGAATAGTGATTACAGACGGAAATATCAAGGATGAGTACCAATTTACATAACCATGTATCTAACAATGGTATATATCGGGTGATTAAAATAATAATTACTTAAATGTTGAAGCTGTCTCACTGTCTCCAAAGTGATTTCGTCAAATCCCATCACGTGATCTACTTGGTTTGATATAATGAATGACCTTAATCAAGTGAGGTTGTGACTTATACCTGGAGTTAAGACTAGTGTTTTTCTAGACTCAAGGAAAACTGTTTGCATCCTTGAAGAAATTCATATAACTATACCTCTTGATATATTTGGACGACACATTAACTAGTAAATTCCGATGAACACAAGACTTATGCTCAGAGCTATTTACTGGCTACATAAAAGCATATTATAAAACAGTCTCCAAAGACAGATAAAAAATAATGCATACCTGCATAATTAATGAACGCATATATGGATGATGAATATACACTATTCCCGTCTTGATAAGCTTCTGCCAGAGTTTTTGGCATTTTTTCTGGTCACAATCATCAGGCTTCGAGTCAACTCTAGCCTTAATAGCATCCATAAGGCGATCGTTTATGCTCTGAACAAAGATAAGTAACAATAAAGATTATATACCCATAAAATATTATGTCTTGGAACTCCGTGTATATCCAGAAGCTTCAGTGCTTGACTGAAATTAGGAACAAGTTGTTCCCAATATTTGTCTTGGAAAGCTTCGATATCATCTTTCGTAATTTTTGACTTAGTAAATAGGTCTTCGATTGTCTTTTTCATGACTGGAAACACAAAAGGCTTTGAGGGCTAAAATTGTCAGCAATACGTTAGCGAAAATGCCAAGGCTTACATTGTCCTTTGTTTCCATTGTTAGAATAGTTGACCCTAAACATATAGAAACTGAAAAAGTACATACAGTATAGTTCACTCTTAAGAATTAACAAAATAAATAAGACGCAGAGGGTTATAAAACAAGTTTTAGATTGAGGATTCTCACAAGTATCAGCAACAAATTATACGAATTAAATATTTGCCTGGTCGAAAATGAACTTTTGATAATGATGAAAGTAGTTTTGTCACAACATGAAGTCAGTCGAAACCAAGGAAAACTGTGTTACTGTGAGAGGGAAATATAATGAAATGAACTAATCACTAGATTCCCCGACCGTTGTTGCTACCTTGACGTGGTGGCTGGGCTTGCCTATCGTGATGAAGCAACTGAGCTATACTGGCTGGAACAACCGTTCCTCAAGGTCCTACCATGTCAGACTGGTAGGTTGAAGAGCGGTAAGACTAAAAGCAACAAACCCAAGGTCCGAAGGCGAAGTCGTACTGCTGACTGTACAGAGGTGTGACAGCAGTAAGGTGTTTCCTTCAGACAACCAGCATGACAGCGATGCTGCCTTCCCACAAGGAGGGGTGGGGTTAGAAAAGGTCGGCCCTAAAAAAATGCACTCCTTATTCCACGGATATCCGTCTCCGGCGGTAAGGTCTCAACAAGTACGGAGCTAGCACAAAAATTACCCATAAAAAGGTCGTATGTGACCGACCTCAAGCAGCTGTCTCTTGGGCACTGCGGTCACGCTCTCTGGTCACTAAGACCACCTCTAATCTAATTTCCTTTTCAGGCACCTTCAAAAGAACCCTTCAACGGTGTGGGCAACCGGGAAGTGATAAGCGCCCTCATACCTCTAACAGCACTCAAAACCACTGTATTCAGATTTTAGCTCACTGAGTTCATTCTGATTAAACCGCACCGAAACGTGGAAGTATTAAATTTGATTCGGAAAACAAAAGTCTGTATTATTTAAGTTTCGAAAAAAAGTTAGCTCATAGGTTGCCATTTTTTAAATACTTCTCTAATACCACACTAGCAGAGTTGGAAATTTTATCTGTGCTCTGGTCAATTATAGAAGGTAGTCTAGTACACTTTCAAATGATGATGTACTCGAAATATTTGTATACTTCCAAGTGTAACAAATCACCAGATCAGACGAAACGTGACAACTAAATCTAGGTTCATGCACCAGGTTACAAATTAAAATTTAAAGTAGATCAATGTAAACGAACCACTGAAGGCAATCTCAGAATTTGAAGCATTATTCGCAAAATGTAAGATTTATAACTACATTTTGCTAGTGGATGTCATTTAACTGTCAGCTCTTAGGCACATCAAAAACCTCTATCTTTTATTTTGTTTGTGGCATGTCGTTTTTCAGAATTTCACTGAGAAAGCTAATAAAATGTAAGTATACACTTTGAACTGAGAATGTTTTCTCCAACTAACTACAAGTTTAAAGTGTTCACAATACTTAAATGTCGAGTAACAAACTATGTGAAGTGCTGTATACAGAAAACTGTGATGAGTCCACACATTAAGCAGAACAAACATGGAATGCATTGTATTCTTCATAGAATTGACATGTAAACAAAATACTAGGTCTCGCCATAAATGACGTTAGTAGTCATACAGATAATTAGTGATGAATGCATTATATAACATTTTCAAGAAACCTGTGAATCTATTAGATACATTTATCACTATCATTTTAATCATGCATGTGAAGCAGCAATATCGTTTATTTGTAGTTAGTGCACTTGTAATGACTTCGTCTCACATCCGCATGAAGTTCTGTAACTTTTAACACCATCAGTTAAAGTATACTTGTATACAAGCTAACTTTTTGATGAAACCCACTTACAAGTTCACATTAAATCGACCCCACGCGTTTGCGCTACGAAACGGCTACTTATCGAGCTAACACTAGGTGAAAAATATAATACATTATATATTTACTGATCAACAAAAAACCTTCACAAAGAATAAAGGTATGATTCAATTTAGTAAAATGGATTCATTAGATGAAACATGCATGCAGTAAGTCAAAAACAGTCGTTTGTGATTCATAAGCTATCATCCCATATCGCTTACGTTTCAAGAAATTAACAGGCACAACTTACATTAAAAAGCAGTGTAGCGAGGCGATACGATTTTAGTGGGAATTGCGATACAATGTCCATTGATTTCAGATTTCAGATTTGTGTAGTAAGGACAGAAGGCCAACGGTCTATGTTATTCATTTTCTAGTATGCTTCTGTGAGTGTCCAGTCTTCTCTTGAAAGAGTCAATTGAAGATGTGGACACCACTGCTTCAGGCAGCAAGTTCCAAGTATTGATGACTCGGTATGAAAACCTGTATGCCGTGGGTATTTTGTTCGTTCTTGGCTTTTCTACTCGCCTGCTATGTCCTCTGAGATGTCCCGATCTAGTGGGAAGAAAGAGAGAGAATAAGTTAGGTCCGAAATCATTTCTCAGTATTCTGTACATCAAAATTAGATCTCCCCTTAGTCTGCGATAGGACAGAGTAAAGAGGTCCAGCTTTTCAAGCCGCTCTTTGTATGATAAACCCCGGATATCTGAAATTGCACTGGTAGCTGTCCTCAGTACTTTTTCTAGGATATCCGAGTCACCTTTTAAACAGGGGCTTGCAGCCTGAACGCGGTTCTCAAGCTTAGTCCTCACTAAGGATGTGTATACTGTAGTGGACATGGTGGTATTTAACTTAGTGAATGTCCGTTTTAAAGCCCAGATGGTTCGAAACTCCTTGGCTGAGACCTCCCGGCAATGGGCCGTCGTCTTAAGATCATGACTCACTGTTACCCGTAGATCCTTATGAGACCGGACTACAGGTAATGGCACATCCCCTATGTTGTACTTATTAACCTTTGAATCCCCCAAGTGCATGTAGACACACTTTTCCGCGTTGATAGGCATCATCCACTCTTTAGACCAGTTAATCATATTATTTAAGTCTGCCTGAAGAGCAAATGCGTCTTTGTCTCCAGTTATTACTCGCCAAATTTTTACATCGTCAGCGTATAATGACATTGGAGACTGTACTATACTTGTAAGATCATTAACGTACATTATAAAAAGTAAAGGGCCTAGGACGGAACCTTGGGCTACTCCACTAAGTACTGGTCTCCAGATGGAGCACTTGGAATTTATTCTTACTTTTTGCCTACGACCTACTAGGAAATCCTTAACCCATTTTAAAAGAGGTCCGGCAATACCAAGGTTTTTCAACTTCAATAGCAGTCTATTAGTTGGCACCTTGTCAAAAGCCTTACTGAAGTCTATGTAGACAACATCCACTGAGTTTCCGTTGTCTAGCGCATTAATCCAGAGCTCCCTAGCTATAAGGAGGTTCGTTGTACAGGATAGACCCTTTCTAAAACCATGTTGTGCCATGTTCAGCAAGTTATTGGTTTCCATAAATGCTGTTATGGTCCGTTTGATTATCCTTTCCAGTATTTTAATTACAACACTGGTGAGGCTTACGGGTCTGTAATTCGATGGAACTTGTCGTGGACCTGTTTTATGTATGGGAGTGACGATTGCGTCCTTCCAGTCCATAGGTAACACACCTTGGTCAAGTGACATTTTGAATATCACAGTCAGTGGGGCTGCGATATATTGTGCAATATGTCTCAAGATTTTAGGGTGTAGTTCATCTGGTCCTGTTGACTTCTCCATGTTTAGGGTGCTAAGAGCCTTAAGCACATCGTTTTGGTCGAAGTCCACGGTGAGCAGCTGGTTTGTTGACTCTGTATTTGGGTCTGGTTCTTTCTCTAAAGGAGGTTCCTGAGTGAAAACTGCCCCAAAGTAGTCAGCCATAACCTCTGCTTCTTCCTGATCTTCCTCTATCATTTCAGATTCACTTCCTATTTTAATTAGGTTGGGAATCCAATGATGCATCCTTGTTCTGTAGTTTATGTACGAGAATATTCTCTTGGGCTGCTTGAGTGAAGATTGTGCCAGCTGCATTTCATATTTTCTTTGAGCTTCCCGAATTTTCGTTATACACTCGTTTCTTATCGATCTGTAGCGTTCCATCGTACCTGCTGTGCTAAGGCGGATGGCACCATCCCAGCATTTCTTCTTTTGTCTCAGTAAACGTCGAATATCCTGCCCTATCCAGGGATGTCCGTGCTTCTTTTTCTTTAGGACAGTCTAGGGTATGTACAGTTGAGTTACCCGATTGTATAACTACCTGAATAGAGTCCATGCCTCTTGTACTGATGCCGTTGAGTCGATTTCCCAGTTTTCAGCCGATGCTGCGAAGTCAAGTGCCTGCATATCTGCCTTCCATATGTTGGGACGGGCCGGTGCAACTGTTTGACAGGCAATCTCAGCCATGAATTTGAATAAGATGACTGCATGGTCACTTCTTTCAAGTGGTGGGAGAAAAGCCATTTGACCAACGTCATCACCGTGTGTGAAAACTAAATCTAAAAGAGAGGAAGAGTTTCTTAAGTCGTATCTTGTGGGATCTCTAATGTGTTGGAATAATGCAAATCCAATCAAGGTTTCTAACAGTTTGCAGTCGAACGACGATATGGATGCATTAAAGTCGCCTAATACAAGACTTTTACCGTTGTTACACCAGGACATAAGTTTGCTTAAGAGAAAATCATCTGCTACACATTCTGGACTGCGATATACTACATCTACTTCAATATCTTGCCGTCGTTATTTCAACTTACATCTCACCAGTTCACATGTCCCTGAAACATGTGCTACTGTCTCAGCTAATCTTATGGTTAAGGTACTTTTCGTGTACAGAATAACTCCGCCTCCCCTACGGTTTAATCTATCAGCCCTACTGGTTATGAAACCAGTCAACTGGATTTCACTATCTAATACTTCTGACGTTAACCAAGTTTCCGAGACAGTAATAACGTCCGGTTTTTCTTTATCCACCACTGACTTGAGCTCCGCCATTTTATTTAGTAGGCTGCGAGCATTTGTGTAGCATACCTTTAAGCCTGTGGAGAGCTTTCCCTTGCCACCCAGAGTGGCTTGGGGATCGTCTTGCCTCGAACTTTTACAACTTGAAAACACTTAAGAACAAGGTTTGGTTACCCGTTATGGCGACGTTCATTTATTTCCGCTTCTGCAGCTCGTCTCTTAATACGATCTGCTAGGCTGAGATCCTCACGGACATATATTCTGGATCCTATCAGTTTACGTGAATTACTTAGAATCAGGTTCCTTTCTTCCACCGTGTTGAATGTAACCTTCAGGAGGCGGTTTTTCGGAGGACTTTCGAAATCCACCTTTTTTCCTATTCTATAAAGCTTACAAATACTAACTCCTGAAACTGTATCTGGGAGTAGTTTACTTAATGATGTCTTAATATGATTGAGATCGCGTTCAAATTTCGCCCTTGGTTCTTTATCTGAAGATTCTCTCATCTTATGAAAAATGACTGATCTCTCAGAGAGATCTGTCTTGCCACGCAGTGAGGATTTTTCTTCTGATAGCATCCCTTTCAATGCCTTGCTGACCAGCTGCGTTTTGCCTACAGTCTTTTTCTTCCCATTTCTTTTTCTCCTTACTGAAGTCCATTTGTCACCACTCAGGACAGCCACACCTGGACTAGGTGAAACGGTTACAGTTTTATCTGGATCTTCTATTTCGACTAGAGGTGTATGACTGCCGATGTCAATATCAAGCGGCACTTCATTCCTCGTTAATGTCAACAGAGATTTCACGTTCCCGTCATCCACAGTCAGGTGTTTAACGGGTCCTGTAGCAGCACTTACTACACTGACACATTCTTCTCTGTCAGGGCTCTTGTTATCATTGCTTCCGCCATCGTTTTTCTTGCAGGCCAAAGCCAATAAGCCCATAGCCTCCTGAATTAGTACCTTTATTGTCTCAAATTTCTGATCAACGCTGTTGTCTTACCCATCTGTGAAAGGACCATTTTAAGTACATATTTCCCTTGGATTTATGAGTTAATAGGTTAAAATGGGTTATAAAACACCGCTTTATACAACAAATCACGTTGTCTCAATGAGCGTACATCAATAAGCTGTAGTGACCGTATTACATACATACTAGAGCGCGCTATTCATAAAACGACAGTGGTATTTTTTCCCCTGAGTAAATTTTATTGTTTTGATAATTTATTACATATCAAGACCACTGTTTACACTTTAATTGAATTTATTTCAGTTGAATTATTCTCTAAGAGTATCGTTTTGGTTTCCAAGGAAGTTTATCGTTAGTACTTTTAAGTACTGTTTTCTACTGCATTTTTTGCACTTTTGGTCCTAACAACCTAAAGTTTTCTACTTTTTTGGTCACAAATCACTTCTGTCTCTGAGTATTATTGTATCTAGTTTCAGTTTTAAAACCTCGTTAGTTGGACAGTGCAAGAAAAGCAATTGCCTACACCCGGGCTGCTGATGGCTTGTTGAAAGTGGCAATTAGTGCGACGAGTGAAAAGGATGATGCCATGACAATTGCACGGATCTAACGCCTGCGGCTTTCAAAAAGTGTAGTGAGAATGGTTGTGTGTGGTTTTGTCAAAAGTGCTGCTCGGACGTAAACAGGCTATTTCAATAGTAAATGCTGCTACAAAAAAGCGTATTACCAAACGAAGTCGGGACATATCGGACAGTACACGGCGTATCAACACACAAATTGACGTGAAGCCACCTCAAGTAACCTCGGTGACAGCTAAGTTACATCTATGAAAATATGAAAGACCAACTACAAAGAGGTCTGTCCTAAATAAAAAAAATCGAGAAAAGAAGTTTCTCTAACGCCGTCCTCTAAATAGTAACCGATAGGAAACGCATAAAAGCCCAACAGCAAGGCTAGATCTATTTCCAGCAAGAAAAACAACCTTGATGTCCAAGTCGTCGATGACCTTCGGAAATCCGACAGAGTGTCTAACATTTATTTGAACAAATAAATATTGGTACAAGAGGTCGCCAAATATACATGCGCCACACGAAACAATGAGAATGAGAGGAGCAAAAAGAAGGTAAAAAGCGTAAAAGAAAAAAGAGGAACAAAAACAAACAAGTTAGTGTAAGGTAATGTAATAATAATGATGGAAACGGGAAGGTACATCAAGAAATCTTTCAGTTAAGGAAGACACAACCACTTTTTATGAAGAAAGTAAAAGAAAGTTACAGCAGGATCCCCACTGGTTTCC